AAAATCACGTTTTGAAATTTTTTTTAAAATTTTTGTTGCATTTTTGAACGAATCACAAAATTGCAAATTTTGAAATTCGAGCGCGTGGCGCAGCAATAGGAGGTCTTTAGACCGAGCCAACCATAGTATGTCCACTAACATTAGGATTTTTGTGTAAATTTGCTTTTGTTTTATTATTTAATTTTTCAAGACATTTTTACTGGTTTGAGAATCACAACTTATATAATGGTTTGCTAAATGTGCCAATAATTTTTGTGGTTCTCCGTGGTTATATGATTTAGTACAATAATTACATCTTGCACTATAATGGTCTTTGGAATTTTTTACCTGTATTTTTGAGAAATGTTTCCAAACTTCAGAATGAGGTCGTTCTGCTTGAGTTGATCTCATCTGCTGTGGCAATGGAGAGAGTGTTTCTTGATCATTGGTGAGCATAATGACAAAGGTTCCTTGTAAGTGAACATATTGGTAACTGTTATACGTGAAAATGAAATTATGTGAAATTTAATATTTCAATTTCACATACAACAGTACCGCACATCACATCATTGATTATCAATCTCATCAATTTTGTCAATAATTCCCCGCCTGCAAAGTATTTCGTCAACCATTCTTGAACTGAACTGAATTGAAATTAAATTTTCTCACGTCCAAATAATTTCATTTGTTTTGTTCATTTCTAAAAATTGATTAAATTATTTATTTCACCTCCATCATTTAAATGGATTATAATAGGAGAAATTAATAATATAATAATGGGAGAAGAGAGACTTTGGCTGCTCGTATTTTGAAGAAAAGAAAGTAAAGGGAGTCAATCAAGTCGGTCATGGAACTTTATGGAAGAAACTGTAATTGTAAATGACAATAGATAAAAATCTAAAGAAGTTTTTTGTTGAGTTAATGTCCCCAAAACTTCTAATATTATTATTCATTGTAATGAAATACAATGACATCAAAACTTGATCCACTTTATTTGAAAAGATTGTTTTTTTGAAAAAAAATTTTGATAATTTTGATAGAATGTAATGATTAACAGTGAATATTCACGAATAATCTAATAATAATAGTATAATAATAATAGGATTTTAATAATAATAGTATAGAATGTATTTGTTTATTTTTTTATAATAAAAAATTTCTAATTATTATTATTATTGCATCTAAAACTGGTACCATTGCGCAACCTTATTTCAAGATGTGCAGCCTACCCAATTTAATCTTGAAATTTCGCATCGAATTTTATTGTAATAAAAATATGTAAATTCAATTTGAAAAAATTACATTTTTTATTAATTGCGACCGTTCTGGTGGCACAAAATTTTAACCAATGCAATTATTGATTGACCAATTGACCAATCAAAATCGTGAATTTGATAATGTAAAAGTAAATGTTGGTTTGATCAACAATTGTTTCGTTAACAAATGGTTTGAATTTAAGAAGTTGGAAGCAATCATGTGATAGACCTTTGAAATAGTCTAATAAATTAAATTGTACTACTCGAAAATATATTTAAATGGTTGGTTTTCAACTTGGTTGAAGAACAACTCTCTTCCTAACTCTTCTCTTGACCATATCTCTCGATGTAATCAAAATAACCTTAATATAATGAATGTCGATAAAATGATTGCAAACACAACCAATATTTAAGATATACGATTAAGACAAAACATGAACGATATATGAAAAAATCAAATTTACAACCAAAAAAATGGTTTTTTTGCATGTTCTAATAAATTTACATTGTTGCTTCATCATTTACTGCTGATTCAACGTTATCCAGATCATCATCAACTGTATTTTCGATATTTTCGATAAACTCATTTTTGTTTAATCTTT